AAGAAAATGGAATTTATACTGAACCAACACCAGCTAAAGCATGGAGGAATTTACCTATCACTCTAGTGAAATGACCTAACATTTTTTGCATGTTTATGCTTCAAAAAATAAATAAATAGGCAAACCTCTAGATCATGGTTTACAAATCACAGTTGATTTCACAGATGTGAAATCAAAAAAAAGCCACAACAAACCTTGGTGTGTTGCATGAGAGACGCAAAATAAAATTAAAAAAAAAAAAATGAATGAGTTCAGGATGAAAAAGTCTAACAGCCATCTTAGTCTCGCAGATGAGCATTAAGTTTAAGCCTTCCAACTCTGACTTAAGTGATGTTAAAGTGCTTAATGCTTAGTAAATGATGGTAAAGTGCTTATTAAAGTGATGTTAAAGTACCAATAAAGCCAGCATCTTCCTCTCTGTGCTCTCAATGTTCCCCTCTCAGCCCTTCAGCAAAGCAGTCTCTCAGTAAGGCAACCCCTCCTCAGTCAGCTCAGGAACTCCAGGTGCCTTCCTTCCTCCAAACCTGGTTAATCTGCAAGTCGTCTGTATTGCCTCCGAGGGGGGGGGGAAGTCCATTCGCAGTCTTGCTACTCCAAACAGCTGCTCTGTATGGGGCTGTCAGGGAAAGCTTCTCGTTAATAATCACCGTTCCCTGCTCCTCTCAAGTTCTTCTTTCCAGGCTTAACTCCTCCGGAGTTAAATGGTTGGAAGATAGACATAAGATACTGTATAAAAATTAAGTATTATCTACAACAAATATGATAACACTATTTAACTGTAAATATTATTATATTCTGATAATATATATTATTATATATATAATATATAGAGTATATTAGAGAACATAGAAATAGAGCTTATGTAAATATGAATATTAATGGTACTGATATGGACTCGCTATAATGAGTGGAAATTTGTGTTTTGTTTTTTAACGTTTATATGAGTTCAATAAAAATTATTTTTTTAAAAAAGAGTTGAGAACTAGTAGAAGAGATGCAAGGCTCTCCCCTGGCCAAATGGGAGTGAGAGAAGCTCCCTGCTCCTCACTTTCCCAAACTGAATACAAGGCCCCACCTACACCGAGGTGCAAATGGAGGAAAGATGCGGTCTCCATCCATTCCCAGGACTGACACAAGATCTTGCAAGAGAAGAGATTCCTCCTCGCTTCCTCAGACTCAGGCGGCATGTGGAATCTTGCAAGCATGTTGGAAAAAAGCTCCTACCCAGGGCTCTCAAGTACCAAGCAGTGGGTGGTTCCCTGCCAATTCTTGATCCTTTTTCTTAGCAACCAGAGCCATTTCTAACCCAGAGAAGCTGATTCCCCCCTGCCCCTCCATCTCCTTCTCTCGAAAGGTACCTGAGGGACCCTATTAGACTACTTAAGAGAAAGTGGTTTGAAGACTGCAGCCTAAAGTCACCATATCATTACGATGTCTATACATTGCAGAACTTCTCAGCTCTCCTGGGAAAGTTAGTAAAAAGGTTAATGATGTAATTACTGTTATTATCATAAGCATAACGAATGGAATTGCCTCATTTACTTAAATGCTGCCAAGCTATTTGCTCCTTGCTGGACGCCTCCCCAAAGGATAGCATCTCTGCTAATCCTGGCAAATTTGTTCCTTTCTTTCATATTAAAAACATTGTGAAGGACTGGAAGACAAGTTGGAAGCCCCAGGTTCAGTTCTCTGCTGCAGAGTTCCAGTGGGTGTAAGTGTGTGCCAATTCTCAGGATTGCAAAATGTAACTAGCAAGACTTCCTCTGTCACTCAGACTCAGTATTTCTCAACCTTGGCAACTTTAAATGGATGAACTTCAGAATTTCCCAGTCAGTATGGCGGCTGGGGAATTTTGGGAATTCAACCCATCTTAAAGTTGCTAAGGGTACAAACCCCTCCCCCACCCTTCTTAAACTCAGCAGCTGCATTCTACATAACAAGAACCACAACATGTGCTAGTTTCTGCTCCTTGGGGTTCATAACTGCCATATATGGGGCAATATTCTATGAATCTTTGGAGCTTGTTTCACAGAAAATAGTTAAAACAATAGCAATAACACTTAGACTTATATACTGCTTTACAGCCCCTCTCTAAGCAGTTTACAGAGTCAGCCTCTTGCCCCTAACAATCTGGGTCCTCATTTTACCGACCTCGGAAAGATGGAAGGCTGAGTCAACCTTGAACCAGTGAGAATCAAACTGCCAAACTGCTGGTATTTGACAGACAGCAGAAGTAGACTGTAGACTGTAGTAATGCATTCTAACCACTGTTCCACCACAGTTCAAAGTTTAGTGTTGGCAAAGCCAACCACTTGAATAGAGGTAGTTCTCGACTTGCAACCATTTATTTAGTGACCCTTCAAGATTATGGCACCACTGGAAAAAGTGACTTATGGCTGTTTTTCACATGACCATTGCATATCCCTATTGTCATGTGATAAAAAATTGGATGCTGCTGGTGGCAGCTGGTTCATATTTATGACGGTTGCATGTTTGGGATCATCATCAGGTGATCCCTTCTGACAAGCAAAGCCAATGGGGATACGAGATTCACTTAACAATATTACTAACTTAACAACTGCAAGGTTCACTTAACTGTGGCAAGAAGGGTCATTAAGGGGGCAAAATTCACTTAACAATTGTCTTGCTTAGCAACAGAAATTTTGGGTTCAAGTGTGTCAAGGACTACCTGAACAAAGATAGCATTTTTTCTTTTTTTTCCCATCAAGTTTTTTATTTTATAACATATAAAAACTCCATTTTCAATTAAACAGTGTGTTATCTGCAAAAGCCACCATCGAATGCTCTGACACAAGACCCCTGCCACCAGAATGCAACAAACCCTATATGGCAACTTCAGAAGGGGATTTGTTTGATATAAATTTGATCCCCAAACCTCCCAAGCATGGGCGTAGAATAAGAAAAAGACCTGGCTTCATTGAAGTGGGTTTAAATGCAGCCCTTAGGAGAT